CTACAACACACTTAGTCGGCATATTTTCGGACAATATCGACTACAACCTTCCCAAACAAGTGAAAATGTGTGAAATGCAGACTTTCATGTTCTCGATTTGACGTCACATTACCCGCTAGAGCCATTCCTCTTTAAACTCGGTCGTGGGGCAAGATGGCGGCCGATTTCAGTATTTTGACTGGGCACAGAAAATTGAAGATTTGAGCAAATAAAAACATTTTTGCACAGAAATACTCCAAAAAATACGCTTATTTTGTTAAGCGAAAAAAAAAAATTGGGGTTTAGGTGCACTTTAACATGTTACCCTCGTTTAATAGCGATATGAGTATGATATGAGTATGAGTCAGAAAGTGAACTTGACTGATTATCGTTTACACTATCATAACGACTTTGTAGATACTTTGACCCCTTTTTTTTTTAATGATGAAGTTATGTTAAACTGATTATTCTGTAGTCCTTGAAGAAGTCTTTGTCGCGAGAACTTGCAAGAACGAACACGTAGGGCGGTTATTTACACGAGGTCTCACCCAAACCGCGGTTTTAAGCAAGAAGTGGTCCTAACGTATTCTCTATAAGAAGGTTGTCTTTCCTCAGTCCGCTAGCTTTCGGTCCTCTTGATACCGTTGACAAAAATAAACGTTCAGATAAAAGATTCAGCTAAGCTCAAGATAGTTTCGGACGTAGTTTTGTTAAACAACGGCTACACTTTGTTTAAATAAGCGGCCCGAAGTTCTTTATCATCTAGTATAATTGTTTAATCCTTGGTTTTCGAACTATTACTCTCTTCGAGCAAAAGCTCAATCAAAAGTAGTGAACTCAATCCCAGCCAACTGGAGCAAGCGGCAATTTCTTAATTTCTTTACACGCCGGTGATCTTAACTCAGATTCTTGAGGAAGAAATTATTTAAGAAAATGTAGAGCTTGGTGGTTAAAACCTTAAAATGTCCCTTCTTTTGAAAAAACCACACGACGCTCTCTCATCTTGAATTAAATTCTAAATGACGATTTTTCCGTATCGGGTGCAAGGTATGAAGATTGGGGAATATTACTTGGAGTATATCCTAGGAGTGTCACGTCACATGTTTAGACCAATCGCGCGCAATCAAAAATAATTAATGGGTTATAAACTAGGACATAGGATTACAAGGAGGGAGTTTCATAACTCACCAGTACTTTTTGTACTTTTGTGCTTTCTTTGATCCAATTCTGAAATTTCAAGCTCCCAGGTCCCCATAGAACTTTCTCCCCAGTGAACAAGAGTTGCTATCACCCAGTCAGTCAAGTTTTTCTTCTCCTCAAATTGATCAAGTGGACGATACTTCGTCAGTTGAGATGATGTGCCACTCGGAGCCTTCAATTTTAGAGACAAGTCCCCTCGGTAATGAAAATCAAGATCTACTTTTATCTGGACGTGTTCCAGGAATGTTATAGGGCAGTTCCTCACTGTTTCTGAAACTGTCCCAGGGATACGCCTGAAAGTGAAAACGATGGTCCTCAATGTTAGTCCTTCACTAAGAAAAACAACTTACAAACAAAGACAAAATAATAAAACACTCAATAGTACGTTATAAACCCTTGGATTGGGGAAAACGATGATAAATAGATAAGATGTTATTTCAATGAAATTTATTTTCTGACATCTAAACCTGACTTACTTGTTCGTATCCGTGCCTTTAATTTTGCATGTATGCAGCCGAGGTACTGTTTTCCAGTTCTTTGCTAGGCTGACCATTCTGCTAACGTCCATAAGTCCAAACCCATAGTAAGTGCTGAAAAAAAAACCCGCGTTGTTCTTCTTCCAGTTTCCTTGCTTGAGTGGCTCTCGTCTTGCACTGTGAACTATGATATGTTGTACGTCACGCCAGGTTAATTTGGGGCTGAAAGGGAAAGGTTTTTTTTTTATAAACATAGAAAGAAAACTCCAACCACGCAGCTCTAAAACTAAAATCTACAACAAACTAAGTGGAAATCATTCGAAATGAGATCCAAGGAATGAAAACCCTTATTTATCCGTTATCCCTTTTTATTCAACAAATGTGAATATCACCAACTTCACGTGCGTAAACGGTAAAGGTTCACATGATGCAATCAAATCCGCAGACGAGAGTAAATCTAGTGAGAATGATTCACACCCCTCGCAACACGTCAAAATTTGCGGCAATTGAACTCCGTCGTCAATTATCTCAATAGTTAAGAAACATCAGTTCGTCTCGTCCGTGATGGTATGGTCAATAGAGATTATTCTGGGGAAGTGCGCACGAACAATTTTTATTTACGAGATGTGATGGATCAGAGGAAAAAATAAACAACAACAACGAGTGAGCGCGGCGAACGAGTGAGTTTTTGATGCATCGCAACCAGTGAACAAAAATCGCTCAAGCACTTGCCATGGTATGATGTTTTTAGTTCTATACGTACTGAGATTTCTTCTCCGCAGAACGACACATTTCAAAGATTGAAACCGAACGACTGTGAAGATACATCGTTCGTCCAGTCAGAGACACGAACGACAGTAATTCACAATGTAAATCTTAGTGTGTATGAAATAAAGCTTCATGCGAGATAAAAGCCTTACTTTGCTTGCAAAGTCAGTGCAATTAGTCCGGAAGCCATGGCGTTAGCCGCTGACGTCCCCCCAAAATCTTGCGTACATCCTCCCTTTTCATCCACGGTTACCTGTGTATGTATGAATACAGTAAGTGGACTTTACTGCCAATTTTTATCAGAGTACCCACGCAATCGAACAAAATCGGAAATAACTTAGCACAGTTATCTTTTTTACAACAGTGGTTAAAAGATCTGTCCTTACAATACTTCCTGACTGATCTCCACTCTCTTTACTGTAGGTGGTGGCCAAAATTCCGGCGCATTCCTCTGCGTATTCTGGTTTGGTGCCATCTTTGTTCACACTATTAATAGTGATCGTGTAAATACTATTCACATAACCATTGTATGCACAGCTGTCTGAATTGCCGCCATTTCCAACTGCAAACGTGTAGATGGCACCCAGGCCATCACGACCCTTAAAAAGAAAAGAGACTCTCAACTAATTGTGATTAGAATTAAGTAATGTGGGCCGCGCGTTTTGATTGTTGAAATTTTTCCAAGGAGCTGGATGTCAATCTGAGAGAAATCATGCCATGTGTTGTACGTTCAGGAAGAAGTTTTTTATGTTCCAAGCAGCCACAGAGGGCCGTTCAATTTAACTATATTTCTAATAAACTATATTATGAACACAAGAGAACGTAATGCATTATGTTAACCAGAATATGCCCCATTAATCCCATTGAGCAACAAGGAAATAGGAGCGGAGTTCCTTTTTGCCTCGTTGTCCCAACCGCCAACTCTTGTGCTGTGGTGCTGTTGCGTTTTACCGTAAAAGATGCCTGATCGTAGGTTATATGCAGCTCTGCGGTTCGATTCCCGCGGAGACTTTAATTTATTTTGTCTTTTTCCAACGCTGGCAGCAATTAGCTTCTCGCAAAAGTACACATAATTAAAGTACACATTAAAAAACTCCGTATCTTTCTAATTATGAGAGTATCGATTACTAAGTCGTATACAAATGACCTAAAATAGATACTCTTATTAACCTGTACCTTGTCTACACCATATTTAAGAGCCTCTTTAGCCAAAGGCCCTGGACCCTCGACTTCCATACCCCAGCTATGAGGCCCCCAGCTGTTGGAGTAAATGTCGACGCTTCTCAGTTCGTGAACTAATGCCTTGGCTTCGGTTGCATCAATCGTCTTTCCTATACCATCAAAGAGGCGAATACCTGAGTACAGAGGAGGAAAATAACAATCTGTGTTGGAGATTTCTACACAGTAAATTACATTTTAACAATTACATTTTAAGCTCGAGATTTCTATCGCAGGATAGTCGATGAGGTCGAAGTCCAAATCAACTAATTCACGGATACAAATCGAGTGGGAATAATATGAATCCATCCATCGTTCGGAATTAAACTACACAAGCTCACGTCTTTGTTTCCACTGTATTCACCATCTATCATGCGCTGTATAACATGCTGAATTCTACACGCATTTTGATTGGTTCTTAATTGCTATCTCAGTATTGGAGGACAGATGCAATGATGATGTCACCTAAGACAAAATTTCGTTTTTTTTTCATCAAAAAAATAAAAAAATAAATAAATTCCGTGTTGTCGAGGGTCTGGTTCTGCAAATTGATTACAGAAGACATCAAAACGTGGTTACCAGTAACACTCGGCTGGACCTCGCACGCCACTCTTTTTCCTTACCATATTCTGACAACATTTGTAATCTGTTGCAGAACAGAGACAGCAACTACCATAACCACTCAGATAACAGCATTTGTAATTGGGCACTGATAATGTTATTATGCCAACCAAGGAATCAAATTAACTTGTTCATAAATAAGATGATTTTATCATGCAAAATTATTGTTCTGAAATTAAGTGTTAATTCTAAGACAATACCTGCAATTTTAGCATTGTATGCCAATCCCACTCCACAAAGATTATTTCCTGCAACTCCAGCTATGATTCCAGCACATCTGTTGCCATGACTAACGAGAATAACAAAAGCATTTATTTTCCTATAACTGGTTATAATTCTGAAAAACAAAATCTTTTGATCACTATTTAGAATAAATAGAGTTTTGCCTATATGAGAGAAAAACATATCTGTGCAACATTTTCCAGAAAACTTCCTTAGAAGTCAGGCATGAATAAGTAAAAAAAGTTACTGTAGATATCTATTTCAAATTAAGACCAGTATTTCACTGCTTTGTCAGAGCTATGGTGTCTGGAGAATGCTGATCCATGACAAGCTTTAGCTATCTATTTCAAATTAAAAACCAGTATTTCACTGCTTTGTCAGAGCTAGGGTGTCTGGAGAATGCTGATCTATGACAAGCTTTATTCGCCTGTATGTTGTACTTCAGACTTGTAGAAGGAATCTATTGGCTACGGTTCCATTTTATCCACAAAACTGATGAGTTAGATGAGAACACTGAAATGCAAGATCAAGTTAAGTGGGAGCCAATACCTTGATGGTGATGGGAAGTTGGTTTTGTGTGGAGAGATTTTGCATATCGTATCGCCTCAAAGTAAAATTAGTCATAAAGGTACGTTTCAAAAGTAAGCAGACATAATTTCATACCCTTTTACACTACTCTTCAACTGAACTGCTGTCCCTTGCACATAATCATAACTTGCTGATAAATTCTAAACATGCAAAACATACAAAAAAAACAAATTTTGATTACTTATTAACCTAGAAACCAATGTAAGTTGTTATCATACACAATTATCCAACAATTGTCGGTCAAGATTTAAATTTCCACAAATGTGGCTTGATGTGATCAGTGTGCTGTATGTTTTGATAAGAACAAGGTATATTAGTTAATTTGCCCCATGTGATGAGTTACATTAATGTAATTTTAAGGTAATCAGGTAGCTCTTTATGGCATTTACATATACACCTATAGTCACCATGGTTACCTAATGCCAGTATTGTCATCAGTATAGCTACAAAAAGTGTAAGTAAACTGCAATTAACATACATCTTGAAAAATGAAGTTGTCATGTACAAAGGTCAATATTCTATAGTGTTGGAGTAGGAATTGTTATCAAATCCATATTAAATATCTTGCCAAAGATAATTAGCCCAGCACTAATGGCAAGATCTGATGAACAATATGCATGATTCAGCAAAGGTTAATAAGCTGGGAAGTATATATTGTCGTAAGTAACTTAATCAAAATAATGGTGTACAGATATAAAAATAATTAAGAAATTACATAGTTTTCTTGGAGATCAGGATGACTGCCATCAACTCCATCATCAACCACTGCCACCAGTATTCCTTTACCAGTATAACCTGCCTTCCAAACAGACATGATATTGTATGTTGGCTCTCGGGGGTTGTTAGGTCTCTCCTAGGGAAATGTATATGCTATTAAAAGAGTACTGTAAAATGCTATGTGGGTACATTTCCCACCTTTACGAAGGCAAGTTTTCTCAGTGATTGGCATTAAAATAGAGTGTATCAGCAAGGTCTTTCTTGTTAAGGCAAAAGTCACAAAGTTCAACAATCTGACATTTGCCTGGATGTAGCTTAGGTATTCAAGATTTTTGTGGCTAATTAATCCATGTGAACTCTTGTTGGTTCCAAACATCACTGATTTACAAGTCAAAGATTTAAAGGATTGCAATTACTAAAGGAATAAAAAACTGAAAAAAAAATCTTTTGTCCCCGAATGAGGATCTTCAACAATGACTTCCTCAATAGCAGGTTCGAAGTTAAAGTACTTTATGCAAGTGATTCTAAGGTCTTTAACAACTACATCATAAAGAAACCTCATGGAAGGTGCTCAACATGCACATTTAGCAGGAAAATCAAGCCTGCAACAAAAAATCAATATAGCCTCATTGTACTTCACTCATAAGATGAATGTAAGAGTGTTACTTACAATGTACCACTGTAGATTAAACAAAGGATCATTAAACTTTCTTGAGAGCAGTCTATATGTTTGTTCCTTCTGCTGCATATACCACTCAATCTACGCAAACAACAAATTTGTCATTAAATCAAATCAAATCTTAAAACAAACTCTGATTGATAACTGTCTTTCCAATCTTTGATTTATCATGTTAGTCTCATCAATAGGGACTTTAAGATAAAGGAACGCGGACATCACGAAAGAGAACCGAAAGTAAAATAACACCTGAGAGCTTCATTGCGCATGACCAAAAGTCAGATGTGCTGCGTTGTTGCTGGTGACGGACGTTGCTAGAAGGCCTTTTGCGTCGCTGATAAAACGTGAGTAAATTGGTGGTTTTTTGGTTTCTACAGACCTTTTAATTAACAGTACCTGTGTTATTTTGGATGTTTAAGAATCTTCTTTGTTATTTTTTATTTAAAAAGTCGGTTGCGGAGTCATAATCATAAACAGCAGTGTAAATATAACACTGTAGTGTCAGTTCAACCTAGACCAAAATAAATTTAGCATATTATGCTAAAAAGGCTCAAATCTCGTTAAAACACAGCAGAATGGCAAGAAATTTAACAGTAAGCAATCTCGGTAAAAACCTCTGTTCTGTGAATTACTCATACATTGACGGATCTAATTTTCAGTTGCTGATCTCGGATCTAGCTGGGAATGGCTTCGAAGCCCAAGTAAAATCGGGATCATGTCAGAGTAGCAACAAGGGTAGGCAAATCGCTTGAGAAGGATACAAAGGCCCTCGGTTCCATCACATACTGTTCCTTGTTCACATTCAAATATAGCAGGAATTTGCAGTGCATCTTCAAAGCGAGATGTGTGATGCTTCTCTACCCTGAAATTGGCTGAACACTCTGCTCCATTTTGGTCCCAGCAAAGAAAATTTCGGATACTCTTGGTAAGGAAAGTCCAAATTATCTGACTTGCTCTCCTCATAAAGCAGCAAGAATTCTGCATCAGTAATAAAGCCCATTGCATGACTTATACACAGCAGTTCTCGAGTTTCCCTGAAAGAAGCCATATTAAACTCGAAAAAATCGCCGCGTCGCTCGCAAACTGAAGAACCTTAACTTAATTTTCCCACCACAAACGTGGTGCACTCGACCCAGGCTCTCTTCAACGGTCATGTACTTCAAGGCATCTGTGTCCCCATATCTTAAAGTTCCTAATGTCAGTACGTGACTTTGCTAATACTGGGGTCAGAATGAATGCCTGGATTGGCCAAGCCAGTACCAGGTCGCTCAAGGGGGATGTTGCTTCGTGTGGCCCATATCTTTGTTGTTATTGTATTAGATGCAGAGTCCAAAATCCTCCCCATTAGCTCAATGGATAGAGCGCTGGACTGTTGTGCGGGAGGTCGAGGGTTCAAGCCCTGGCCGGACCAACACTCAAGGTCTTAAAATAATTGAGAAGAATGTGCTACCTTTCTATAACATCAAGAAATGGTTAGATATTCTAGTCTTCTCGGATAGGGACGAATAAATGGAGGTCCTGTCTCCTGCAGGGTTAGGGGTAGGAGACGTTAATTTCCCGCGCACGAGATTACTGTGTGATGGATGTCCTCCCCTGGGGTGGGATGGACAGGTTTGTTGGAGCTTAAAAACCTCGTAAGGGACCTATGTCCTTCTGTTTCTGCTCCAGTACTTGGTACAAATCCTTAAATACTCAAATACTCAAAATCCTTTAGATTTGTCTGTTTGCAAACCTTTTTACTTTTTATGATGGGTTGGGGTGATCATTTGTCTATAAGCAAATGTGAAAATGACTGTGGACATTCCGAAAGGTACAAAATTTTAACGGAAACCTTTTGCTTCCAATGAGCATACAATCCCACCTGTTCTTTTTCCTTTGTCCAATTTTCATTGGAAGTCAATTGATAGCTTTACTCCCATGGTTTTCCCCTGGAATAAACATTTAAGATATCAATTACCAGTCCAAATAGTATCTAAAATACCGCAAAACCTCACTGAAAGTCAGCAAGCTCTGCCTACATTTTTCAGCCGTTGCAGTCCTTGCGTTCTTTGAGAATTGCATTTTTCATAACTCCTGTGCTAATTAGTCTTAGATTTCAGTTATTTGTGCAATATGTAGTTTTCTTTTAAGCTCCAAAAGTGCTACCTTAATTGGAAAATGAAACAGAATTTTTAACACAATGCTACCCGATTTTATGGCCATGAAGTTATGTAAACAATAACAGAGAATATTATACCCTTGCGAAATGGATCCTGGAATTCCTAGGAATTCTTAAGAATTACTGGAAATAAGATGTGAATTTTCATGGTAAATTCAGACTGGGAATTCCTCGTTCTCTTTCCTTTGGTTTGGCTGTCACAACCGACAGATCCAGGTTTTGAAGCATACAACAATGTTGTTTATTCTCCCTTGTGGTCGTGAGCTCTGAGATGACTCACTAGTCCAATATAAGAGTGGCAAACTTTTGGGCACTTGTGGCATGGATAGCAACACCTAGACATTCCCAAAAATTCCATGTTTATAGCCAACAGGACTTGGAATTCCTAGGAGTTCCAACTCAGTGCACCAATGACTTCCCTGAAATACTGTTAATCTAAAAACTTGCTAGAAACTGCTAGGAATTTTTAGGAATTTCTAGGAATGTTTAAGAATTACTGGGAATTTTAGAAAAACTTTGAGGCAACTTTGAGACAAATAAATACATGCATTAACTCCCAACTAAAAATACAAGAAGTCAATGAAATTCAGTTACATGCTTAACTCAGGTTTACATGTTAATTATTTGCTTTTGTATATAAACATCAACATGTAGTAATATTAGGATGAAATTCCATTTTCTTTTCTTGAAACCTTCATTAAAATTATCCTCAATTACAGCTACTCATTTAAAATAGTCCTTGTGAATCATTAAATTTGGTTTAAAACAAATTGTGAATAAAATCTGTTGATTCTTTTTCATGAAATGCAATAACTTGGGTTATGTTTGTTGCAATAAATACTATCAGTCAAAAAATAGTCTTGAAAGGAATCATTTCATTTGGAATGATGATACAAATGATATTTTACCCTTTCCTCCCTGAGTCAGGCTTTGACTTGATTTAATGCGGTTGTAACTTCTTTGGAAACTCTGTGTGTTAACATTCAAATGTAAGCTATCAAGCAGCATCTTCATGCTACGCTGTTTAGTTTTGTTGATTCTGCAAGTTGAAATTCAAAGATTTCTATTCAATTTGACTAAACACTCTTGGGAGTGAAGGGCTTAATTACAGTTAAATAACTGATTTTTTAATTAAATTCTTGTTATAACTGTATTAATTAATTGCAACGAAGTTATCCCAAACTGCAGACTAAGCAGCTGGTTGTCAAACGTGACTAAAATAATCCTGAAACATTTAGCTTACTGATAGATTTATTTCATTGTAAAGTGTAAGCTTAAGAAACTGTGGTATGCAAGTGACTGATTCGATTCTCAGTTTTGATCACGTACCAAATATCGCAATTTGTACTCACAACAAACTTTCAGAATCCTAGCTTTATAAATGGCCACTCGACCCTTCTACCTGCATTCGATAACCGCTGTCCCTTATCTTAACTTAACGGCGCCAATGACTTGCTTTTAATTTACAACACTCCCACTGTTCTCGTTTTCCCATTGAAAAACAGTAAAACCCATCTTTAGAGATGTCATACTAAGCAATACATTTCACAAGGGTATAGTCACCCGGGTCTCATAAATGCAAGAAGTGCATTCGTTTTTTACTTCTGATCGGTCTGTTTCAGCACTTTTTTGGATAAAGGGATATTTCTTGGTTATATTTCCTTACATTTTATAATTTTGACCAAAAGGATATAGTATACAGTTTGTATTCTCATGCGTTTATAGTCCCTTGCTTTGGTAGCACGCGATTGTCTGGTAATCCAGACAAATCGGCATATTGGCATCTTAAATGTTTATTCCTGGGAAAGAGCTATCAATTGACTTCCATCCAAAATCAAACAAAGGAAAAAGAACAGGTGGGATTAGATATCACAACTATATCGGCTATTCGTAATTTTGAATTTGATGCTGACTGCTGTACATTCTGTAAATAATTCTAAATGTTTATCCTATTGTGTCAATTACTGAATTGTATATATTGTGTTTTCTGTATTTATCTCCTTCTCAATAACTATTTCATTTTATTTATTTATTTATTTTCTTGGAGATGTTAGCATTTTTTTGGCTATTTTAAATTTGAGATGAAATAAAGGCTTGTTGTTGTTGTAACTGTAAAGGAAACTGGAGATGTCATGAATGAAACATTGCCGCGAAATGTAAATAACAGATTTTCTTCAGTTTACGTAACTTGCAGGATATCTTCAGTTAGCATGATCTCCTCGGCCCATCCTAGAGCGAGAGAAGGTTTTAAACAAAAAATTTCTTGAAAAATTAAGATTTTTGAGACTCTAAAACAAAAAGGATCGAGGCTGTTTGAAACGGAATGGAACGGAAGGTATAGGAATTTATCACGGACTTCAGCACAAACCCATGCATAAGAGGCAAAAGGTTTTCGTTAAAATTTTGTACCTTTTGGGATGTTCACGGTCATTTTCACATTTCCACATAGATAAATGATCAACTCCACCTGTCATAAAAGCAAACAGGTTTGCGAACAGACCATCTTCAGAGACCCAGGGGCTGCGAGTGGATTTCAAGGTAGGGCAGAAGAGCTCCTGGGGACATTGTCTTACAAGACTAGTTCCAAACGGTCGCAGTTGTTCTGGCATCTGATTGGCGCCAGAAAAATCGTTGTGTTTTTCTGCCCAATCAGAGTGAAGTGTGCTTTAGAGTCCTTTCATGTGAGAAATATACAAGAAGTTCAGTTGCTCACCATGTTTGTTTGGGCCATACAATGGAGCTTTGCTCAAGGCGAAAAGTTTCAGTCTCAGCACACAATGTAAGAGAAATTGATCAGACTGTCTACAAAAATTTCACGCAAAATTATACTGAGTACTTTCGCAGGTATCACAAGAGAATGTGTTAAAAAGTTTGCGAGGTTCATATAAAACAGGATGGTTGCAGGCATTGATATGTCGCTTTAAACGTTAGACAAGATGTCAGCTTAAATGTTTCTAAATTTTTTGCATAATTTACTGTAACTGAAACTTTCCCAATCCCGCGAAGTTATTTCGTTGCACAGGCCATGCAGGTATGTCGAGCAACTGGCGCCTACGCTTGCACAGCTTTCTGTAGACGCCAAAATCTAATCTTCACTTTGTAGTATATAAAGTTGTTCAAAATTATGGCCAAGGTTGCAGACAACGCGAAGTTCGTGGACGACCTCCAGCAAGCGGTTAGAGAAAGCTTAGCTGTGTTTCTGGTTAGCTAATTAAAATCTGAACAAAAACTTATTATCGAGAACATCGTGGGAAGGAGAGATGTTTTCGGACAGTTACCGAAGGGGTTTGGAAAGAGCTTAATCTTTCAACTGCTGCCTAAAGTGTTCAAATTCTTGAGCTCAAAAGACCACAGATTCTCTTCTAGTCCCTTGGTCATTGTCATTTCACCTCTTTTGTCGATTGTTGAAGACCAAGTTAAATACCTTTGATCACTTGGAATCGATGCTACTTTCATCGGGGAAAACAAAACCAAAGACCAAGTAATATAGGATGGAAAGGGCGGGTTTGCTTTATTGTAAATGTCAGCTTAGTACAGGGTCATCTACCCACATCTGATAAACAGAAGTTTCCACGCATAGCTATTCTTCTTTTTCAAGCAAAGATTAGATTAGATTAGATTTTGGCACGCACAGAAAGCTCACCAGTTGCTCGACATACCTGCATGGCCCATGCGACGAAATAACTTCATGGGATTGCAAAGTTTCAGTTACAGCAAATTAAACAAAAAATCTAGAAAGTTTTAAGCTCACAACTCGTCTAATATTAAAGCGACATATTAACGCCTGCAACCATTGTTTTATACGAACCGCGGCATTCTCTTGTGATACCTGTGAGACTACTCAGTATAATTTCCAGTAAGATTTTCACAAACAATCTGATCGATTTCTCTCACATTGTGTGATGACACTGAAACTTTTCACCTCGAGCAAAGCTTTGTCGCACAGCCCAAACAAACATGGTGAGCAACTGATAAGCTTCTTGTATATGTCTGTGTTAAAACACACAAAAAGGACTCCAAAGCACACTTCACTCTGATTGGGCAGAAAAACACAAAGATTTTCCGGCACCAATCAGATGCCAGAACAACTGCAACCATTTGGAACTAGTCTTGTAAGACAATGTCCCCAGGGGCTCTTCTGCCCTACCTTGAAATCAACTCACAGCCCCTGGGTTTCCGAGGATGCAAACAGACAAATCATAGGAATTTGCAAGGTTTTTAGACTCTGTATCTCACAACAATAACAAAAATACAGGCCACGCGATCACGAAGCAACATTCCCCTTGATCGACCTGATACTGGCTCACCCAATCCCAGCATTCATTTGGACCCCAGTATTAGCAAAGTCACGTATTCCCAGTTTTCCTGACTCAAGTATATCTGCTGCAGTCAGTAATGTTATAATGTCTCAGTTTTTAGTTTAAACTAAATGTAATTGCAGGTCAAAAAGATTCAAAATAGTTTTATTATCATTTTGTTTACTTTTAACAATTAAAATGAAAGTGTAAATATATCCAAACTAAAAAAAAAAGAAATCAATTTTATTCATTCACATGGTTTAATGGATCTATATAATTATAGTAATGTCAAATGTCTACATCTAATTTCAATATGTTTAACACTTGGCTTGTTTTCAATTGCAATATGTCAAGTACTCTGGTATTCATAAAATAAACTACTACAGTGTTGCAACCCTACAACCTGTTTGAATTTTCCCTTCAATTTGAAAAACAGGATCAGCTATAATAATCAACTGACTATTAAAACTTTGGAATTAGTTATTTTCAGTTGTTTATTTCAATTTATATATTTCTTCTTTCAGATAACAATCTGACCCTTTCCACCCTAATTGAAAGTTGATATTTTAAGGAGAAATTAGATGTTATTCACTCTTAGGGGTCAACCCCTAGAGTTAACCTTTTCACTCCCAGCATAGATCAGGGCAGAATTTCTACCAACGTACAATATATCAAGCAGAAAAGTGATAATAATTAATGAGGAAAACTATCAGTTGGAAGAGTATTACTTGCTCCAGTTCCAAGTTCTCTACACTAACATCATGAGCATTGTCTTGTAGAAATTAAGAAGAATTACTACTGAGATCCTGGAGTGAAAGGGTTAAGTGGTAAAACATTGATCCACAACCTCAAAGGCCATTCAGTTATAGTTGGGATAATGTTAGATAAATATCCTGAACTCTGGGAAAGTAATCAATAGCTTCATGGAAATGTCATTTGTAAAATTATGGGCTTTTTTCGTTTAATGAGGCTTTTGCTGTTATACTAAGCTGCAGCTATTCATTGGTTAAAGATGGTTTTGTTTTTCAAGTTGATTAAATCTTAAAATGAACTCATAACTAATTGTCAAAATATCACATTTATTAAAAATGATATATTTAAGTATAAAAATATTCAAGGGGACAATGCGATTAGATAAATAAACAAGCGATAGAAATATTGAATATAAATTTTTAATTTTCAGTTATCAGAATGAATGTAAATGTAACATTTTTCAATGTGGCATTATGTCTTACCTTCGGCTCTTTTGATAACTTTGCATCAACTTCTGATGATAATCCATTCTTTCCAAGCATTTTCACCAATTCTGGTTTTTTGAACAAATGATAGTCTTGGAACACCTGAAAGCATAAAATTTTGGTAGATCTGGTCACTGATGCTACACTTTAATAGTCCGCCTATTTTAAGCAAACAAGTTAAAAAAAAAGTGTACGAAAGGATATTGAAAGGATTTAGGATCAATCCCACCTTTGAATCAACATGTACTTTGCTTGAATTCATAAAAACTGTGCTTTGATTGAAAGAAATTGACTTAAAAATTCTCTTCCGCATGTTTTCAAATGGCTGCCATCTCACTTGAGCCCACAATTAAACAGTTTGCGTATGATACACGACCCTCGCAGTTCTAAATATATGAACTTCATATATTCATTGTATCTAAACAGTTTGCAGCGATTAAGGAGAAAAGTTATTTTTTACAGCAAAACCTATTCAGGAGACGGTATAAAAATAAATGTAGCCTCCCAGAAAACGCTTCGCGTTTTGCCATCTCCCCTACCGTTGGTACACAAGACGATAGCCTGTAAAAAAGGGAGCATATAACATAGACTCAATAAAGAAGCCTTTACCAAAGTAAAACTCACATGTTTGTCGTAAGAAAAACCGTATTTATGGGCCAACATCTCGGCTACTTGTTGGCTGCCACGAACTTTTACCGCCCACGAATTCGTAAAAATTGCATCGGCGATAACGCTATTTCCACAGTACAACATCATAATAAACAGAACACAAGAAGACTCCCCAACGATAGGAGAAATAGAAGAAAAATACCGCGCCATCATCGCTTCAATAAACTGAGTTGGATAGTACGCTGTGGACTGGCGGGTGTGTACGTGATGTTATGAACCGCAGTCTGGTAACGAGGAATGTTCAGTCCAAACGTCTGACTATTGTATCTGTGGATCAGTTTTAGTAGTACTTAAATAAAACTTCTGAGGCGTGTTTCAGAAGAAAGGAAAAATGTGAGCCAAACAATAACAAAAACTTTTATAACAGATTCGTGATGGAGATGAACGTGACCTGATTTCGCGCTTCAGCAGTCCAGGATGAGTTTATTTTAATTTACCGATAAATATTCCGGTCACGTATTGCATCGCATGACGCGTGTAGGAGTAACCAATTTTTGGCACATTGCCTGGGAATGAGTGAAAATTACTCTTTTAAAAAAGGTGCATGAAACAACAAATAAATGCATCTAGGCCACGTCTGATAGGCGGTTTGTACGTTATGTCATTTGCCGCCATGTTGGTAGACGTAAACAATGGATATCTCATCAGCTCCTTTTCTTCCACCAGCATTTGTTCCTTTCATCATTGTTACCTGTGTCTCTAGAGATTGGTTGGCTTACTGTATTTTGCGAAACGAAACGAAACGAAATGAGTAAACCCGTACTGTATTTGGCGAAACCAGCTCTTCGAAGACTCTAGCGATATATAACTTATTTCCTCCGATTCTACAACACTTTTCGTAGATACAACTCGATGCAGTGATGATTTTTTAATAAAGAGCTCGAGCCAAAAGGTCAGAAGTGC